TTATATTTGCTTTCGTCAAAAACATGAGACGAATAAAAACTGAGAGTCGAAATAACATATCGCTTGTTTTGTCGCTAACTGAATTTGTATTCTGTTTTAATTCTCAGTTCTGTATATGCTCTTTTAACTCTCAGTTTTTTTCTATCGCCTTTTTCATTTAAAATGCATTCTTATGCTTTTTTTCCGAAAAGAATTTTTATAACTTGTTCTGAGTTTCAGGCTCTCAAATGATTAGTTACACATTCTAATTAAAAAGTTCTTTCGATTGAATTCCATATCAGCACAAATTGAAATTTTACTTGTTAGCATTTTTATTCGATATTTCAAGGTAAATAACACTTTTGACGGCTATAAATAGCTTGAAATATCTTTTAAAAATCATTCAGATTTATTTATAAGGAAAGAGAAAACGATTTTTACAAACATTTCTAAAAATGAAGTTGTTCATTTTGGTGTGCATTTCAATTCTTGGAGGTAGGAATAATGTGGATCATAATTCTGACATCAAAGTAATTCAAATGAATTTACACCATAGTTGGATGTGATGTTCCTCGTATTTCTGGTGGCGAAGCAGCATTGGATGGTGAGGCTCCGTTTCAGTGTTCATTGCAGAAGTTTGGGTATCATAAGTGTGGATGTGCAATCATATCGAATCAATGGATTTTGTCCGCAGCTCATTGTTTCAAATCAATGTAATAAATGATGGCTTAAATGATGATGTTTTGCTTAATGTGAAACGTAGTTTTATACATTAAGCTATGGAATAGTAAGATATATATATATATATATGTTTGTTCAGTGATTTTAGAGAAAACCAGAAAAGATAGAGAGTTCGGGTTTTCGGCATTCGATAGGGCATGAAAAACCCTCTAGACGTATTTTTTATTTTCCCCATAAGTGCTCCCCATTTAATTTTTTCATTCATGGACCCTCTCTTTTGGATTCCACTTTGAAAAATATTTCGATTCCACTCACCATTTATTGAGTGGATCACGAATGGATTCGGGTGGAATTACGTTTATCCGCAACTTTATTGGGTGGATCAACGATGGAATAAATGAGTTTTACTTCAGTGTTAATTTGATTACTTTGGATCTAGATGAAACTTGTTGAAAAAAAGTTGGAGACACCCGAGGCACCAAATTGTTTTAGATTCCTTATAAAATTACCTTTCGAATGGTATATAAATTATGGAGTTTCCGGCATGTTTGCTGGCGTTTTACGCTGGCCGTTTGGCCGAAATATGAAAAATTGTGAGAAAAATCGGCTTCCGAATCTTATTGCAAGCAACCTAGTTCTATGATTTTGATGAAACTTTGCCAGATGATAGCTCTTGAAGCCCTCTTTCCAACGGTATATAAGTTATTAGCCAATCGAACTTGTGAATGTGTTTCCCAGGTGGCCGTTTGAGGCCAAATTAGTGAAAATATTGGCAAAGTCAACTTTCAAGGGGAAATTTATTGAAGATAAGTTGCAGTTACGTGAAGATAAAAATTGTTTTAGAATCTCCATAAAATTACCTTTTGAATGGTATATAAATTATAGGGTTAACCAACTTTTTGAAGTGGCTAGATGGCGTTTTACGCTGGCCGTTTGGCCGAAATATGAAAAATTGTGAGAAAAATCGGCTTCCGAATCTTATTGCAAGCAACCTAGTTCTATGATTTCTATGATTTTGATGAAACTTTGCCAGATGATAGCTCTTGAAGCCCTCTTTCCAACGGTATATAGCTTATTAGCCAATCAAACTTGTGAATGTGTTTCCCAGGTGGCCGTTTGAGGCCAAATTAGTGAAAATATTGGCAAAGTCAACTTTCAAGGGGAAATTTATTACTTTTCCGCACACCCACAGTATTAGTTTTCCGCTGGTGCGGCTTTTTATTACTGGTGTGATGCCCACTCTGAGAAAACTCAGATGTTAAAATTCAAAGTAATCAGAGCAAAATGCCATTTTAACATGGAGGTATTTTTTCACTTTATCCGCAACACATTTCTTTGCGGGTTTGACTGCATTTTAACATGTGACAAAATATCTCCATGTTAAAATGACGACAAAATGCCATGTTAACATGGAGATATTTTGTCACATGTTAAAATGCCGTTTTACCCGCAACACATTTCTTTGCGGTCTTTACCCTCATGTTAAAATGGCATTTTCCTCTGATCACTTTGAATTTTAACATCTGAGTTTTCTGAGAGTAGTTTATGGGGTTTACTGCCTTTTTGAAGTTCAACTCCATAGGTGACAATTTAGCCAAAATGAGAAAAATATAGGTAAAGTACATTTTCGAGCTTCATTGCAAGCAACCTAGTTCTATGATTTTGATTAAATTTCGCCAGATGATAGCTCCCAAAGTCCTCTTTCTAACGCTATATAGCTTATTAGCCAATCAAACTTGTGAAGAGTTTTGAAATTTCAATTTAATTATGGCATTGACACAAACCTTAGAGAAAAACGAAATCCATGTGATGCATTTATTAGGTAGTTCTGGACGTTCTCATTTCAGTAATTGAATTGAACGATTTCACCATTTATGGATCATCAGCGCAGCTTTTAAGAAAACCTTCTATATAATTTATAGGATTTACTAACTTTTTGAAGTGGGAGCGCTTAGGTAGTCGTTGAGGCAATATGAGGAAAATATTGGCAAAATCAATTTTCAAGGTGTAATTTATTTTAAAAAAATTGTGGCAAAAAATTCAAAATATGAATGTCGAGTAGTTTGTTTTTCTTAGTAGTACGGTTCCACGTTTCACATTAAGCTCTACGGCCAAAAACTGGCAGTGTATTCTCTATTAGATTTGAGTATTTTATTTCATTGATTTGTTTTAGTGACATGGATGGGCTAACAATATTAGTTGGAACAAATGACATTAGTTGGGGTGGAGATCGTTATACGGTTCGAGAAATCATATTGCATGAACATTGGGGTGATCCGATATTTGACAGTGATATCGCATTGATTCGAGTGGATAAAATAAAGTTCAGTACAAAAATTCAACCGATTAAATGCTCACCAAGGTATGTGAATGCAGGTGCAAAAGTTCAAGCATTTGGATGGGGACGGTTGAGTGTAAGACTTTAATATAAAATTTTGTTCGAAAAAAAAAATATTAACTTCGAATGGGGAGGTTTGAAACATACAAATTAAATTATTCCTTAATATAGGCAAATGGCAGAAATTCACAATTTTTGCAGACGATTGATCTGAAGGCTATTTCGAACAAACAATGTGAAGAGTATTATGGAAATCAAGCTCAAAATACCAATTTATGCACGTTTAACAAAATCGGCGAAGGCGTTTGCTTTGTAAGTGGTTTAAATCAATTGAAAATTGAGACAAACTGTAATTATTTCATATAATACGCAGGGAGATTCAGGTGGATCTCTCATTTTGGACAATAAATTGGTTGGTTTGGCAAAGTTTGGATTGTAAGCTCGTGAAAATGCATTTTATTTAGTAGGGTGGTATTATTGGTTTGATTCTTTTTTTATTACATCTAGATGCGGCAAAGGAGATGGCCCGGATGGTTTCACCAGAATTTCATACTTTTATCAATGGATCCAATCAAAGATTCAAGAGTAATTTTTCATATAAACAAACAATATATAACAAAATATTAGTCGTACTTTTTTTTTATTAAAAACTTAGTGATTTCTCAATAAACTTATACAAAAATACTATCTCAAAAATGTCTGATCTAAAATGTATTATTTTTCTCAATTTTCGACTTGTAATACAAGCCTTTTGTGTTCCAATCAACGATTTCTGTCGATTAACCGTAGATTTTTTGCATAATCTTTTGCCATATGTTTTTTGGTGGATTTTCAGTGAGTTGATTGTGCCAATTGGCGATATACTTTTGATATTTTTCCATTGTAACCGGATCGACTGGTCCCCATTTGGAATTTGGATGGAAACTATTTCGAATTTTCTCGCTCCATGTATCACCATTTTGTTTAATCACAGTATATACAGCCCACAATGGCAATTGCATCAACCCTATTGCGGATATCGTCCAACCGATCGCTATCCGTTAAATAAATAATTTATTAGCGATTCAAATATTTAAAACATTTATGACAAGAAAAAAATCATTTACCGTATGCAGTTGGTGGATAGAGTTGATCTTTGTATTTGAGCGGTTTGTACGATATCAGCGTATAAATTAGTATGACTATCATAATCAATGGTGTTAAAATTCCCCAACTAAAATTTATCACATGAAAATATAACTAACTATTCACAAAAAAAACAGTGTATCCTACGTTAATAACACCAAACTCTCACCATGTTCGCCAATAACGACCGGGATTACGATTTATCATAAACTCAGCGTCACGACACAATCGATCAACACCTGCAATATAAAATCCTTTATTTTATAAATATTTATAATCAATTTCATTGCTGAACAATGTCTAAGAATCGATTTTTATTTTCAACTTTGAAACACTACGACATTGGAAAGGAGCGAGTACGACGTTTTGTCAAGCCAAAAAAGTATTATTGTGAAATGACAGAGTGACATTTACATCAGCGCCGTATATCGAATTAATTTCGCTTGGCATAGGGGGAAATATTTTGACAGATAGTACTCGATCCTTTTTATTTTTTAATTGCACCGGAGAACATTTCTACTGATCCTTACTCAGAAACATAAGTTCTGACTGGGGATACCAGGGTAAAAGTCATCCCTAACTGGAGACTGACTTTAAAAATTACTTTTCTTAACTTTTTTTTCGTGGAAAGGCATTTTGTGGACTTCACTTTCTTGTGAATGTAGACTACGAAATTTGAAACTTAAATAACAAAAAGTGGTTGACACTTTCAAAATGACCGAAAATGATAAACCCCAAATCATTTTCATTCGCATCTACCAAAATAGAGAATAACATTTCCATAGAAATTGACGAAAATCAATTTTTCAAAGTAACTTTTTGTCTGCATTCAACAAAATTTCTCGCCGAGAAAAAAAAATCAATTTTTCTATAAAATTAATATGTTGTTATACTTGCCATAAATCCAACAAACGGCCACCATTTCTGCAATGGCTAAGATGAATACGATGAACGAGGCACCAAAGAAGTCGACCAAGTTCAAAATGAATTGTCCACCCTGGAATGAATAAAACGAAAATGGTAAAAGATTGTCATTGTTAAAAGCATTAAAATGAAATGAAAGGTGAAAAGAATTAAAGGAGGAAGAAGAGGAAGAAAAAAAGTTCTGTTGCAGTAAATTCAATTTAATATCCATTTTACTACAGACCGGCGTAATATATAATAAGCCAATCAAAAATCCGAAAAATGCAACAGCAAGCACAACAATTGATGGTTTCCATTTGGGAAATTGGTCAAGAATGGCAGTTGTAATGCACGAGCACATCGCAATATTACTGCCAATGCCAAGAACGAACAGCATAAAAAAGAACAGCACGGAAAAGACCTGCAATGAAAAAGCAAGAGAGTTAAAATAAATGGTGAACAATTCAATCGGAAGAATGAATTAAAAATGCCGAATCGAAAAATAGGAGATGTGAACTTTTGGTGTGTGTCATTCATACCTGTGGAACGACTCGGAAACGTGCAATCGCGTCTAAGAAAAATATAGTGAATAAAGGAGAAACGGAGTCAGTATTCGTTCGGATGGTAATGGATAGCCATAAAAATCAATAACAATTTACTAACCGGGATATGAAATGAATGCTAGCCCCGCACCACCTTTGACCACCTCCCCAATATCTGTTGCGCCAGTTTCATGAGCTAATTGACAGAAGATAACAATGACATTCATTTCGATATTTTAATTGTTTTTAATTAACGTGAACAAACGTAATTGACATAATTTGAGTGACTAAACGATACGTACCCAAATGCCCAAGAATGCCAAAAATTGTAAAGCCGGCCAACAACGATGTAAATGTATCCAACGTTGTGACTATGGTCGCGTCCCGATAGACGTTATGGTCGAAACGATTAAACGACGCATACATAATTAAATTACCAAAGCAAACGGCCAATGAGAAGAAACATTGCACTATAGCGGATACAAAGAGGAAGAAAAATTGGTAAATTCTCACTGACAAAAGTGCACAAGCACTGACACGCATTTTGAGCACTTATTCCCTGCAAGATAAGTTTCGGGTGAAAATGAACAAAAGACACATACCTATTGCGGCGTACCACACCTATGGAAATTAAACCACATTTTTAAATTAAAAAAAAACCAGACTGAGGTGCACATAAGAGAGTGAAAGAGACGTTATTATTCAAACTATTCCAAAATCAATGAGAAAGGAAGGTCCATCTTTCATTCTCATATAGCAATTGCTCAATGCTCATAGTACAATGGGCTGAATCGATCAAAAGAGAAAGATTATGCTTTTTAATAAATTTACCGTCGGATCAAAGAGTTTGTCCCACTGAGGTCGAATGAAAAACAAGATACCATTGAATGCACCCGGCAATGTTACGGCACGAGCCAATAGAATCAATAGAATGACATATGGAAACAACGCTGGAAATAGACAGAATTTTTTTTTATTTTTTTTTTGTAAGTTTTTATTTCAATATGAGCAGACCTACCCAAAAAATACGAAGCTTTTCCGGAACTTTGAACTCCCTTAATTAGCACCGATACAATTATTACCCAAGTCAAACCCAAACACATTGTCAAGTAGATGTCTGGCGTTCCAATACCATTTTGAATGGTTGGATATTCCTTGAGCACCTCTTTTCTATGAAATGTTATAAATAAAGATTTTATTTACAAATGTCAATCACTCATAAATGTTAGTTTCGAACATCGATTCGGTGAGCTTAGTTAAAGAGAAGTGCCAAGCTATCAATCATCAATTGTTCTTTCATGCATATACTTTACAGTAAAACCCATGTTAAAATCAAGCTATTTTCCATTGAATTGTTGATATTACTTTTTCGCATTCACTAAGCGTGCGGCAAAAACGTTTGGGTGTTTATTTTATTCACGGGAAAATGTCGAGTAAATACCGTGGTAAATATTTTTGGAACTCGACACCTTGTCGAACATGTTATTAGATGAAAACAAAATTCGTGCTTGCATGTTCGACATTTGCTTAATCCGGCTTAATCGAGTCATTTTCAAGAAATAACATCAATCGCTACAATTTAGGAAGTATTCCATTAAAATGGCAAATGCACAGAAGGTCAAATAGTATAAGTGCTCACATTAAATCTTTTTGTTCGTTTTGTGTATTGTTTTGATACAAATAATCACGAAAATTGCTTAAATAATGAAAATTCGTCGAAGCATGAAATAAGAAACGATGTAAGGCACCAAATAAAACATTTGTTAGAAAAATTCAATTGTGTTCCTATATTCTTTTGACAATGTAAAAAAACGCCATATAATAATAATGACAATGTTGTGCGTCCGTTGTGACATACGTCAGAAAAAAAGATGACTTGACCCCGACGTGAATTGAACACGCAACCTTCTGATCTGGAGTCAGACGCGCTACCATTGCGCCACGGAGTCATAACAAATTCAACGTTGAATAACAACTCGAACATGATCTATGACATTATCAAAATGCATTTATGCGAAATATTCTTCATGCGGTACATCTTTTCCATTTAATTTATTGATTTCGAATTCAACTAACAACTTCAGTATCGACCTATGAAACGTGTATCATCAATGTTTTCAGCATTTCTTAGAACAAAAAGAAATCATGATTTGTTTCTTGTCACATTTCTATCGATAATTCTGCCATTAACTGAATTAACGAAATGTCTAACAAAAGGAAATGATATTGATTCACACTACTCGGTGATAAATGGTACTTTCTCTTTTTGGCTTTTAATGTGCGAATCAAATTTTTAAATGCCAAAATCAAATTTTCTTAGTTTGAATATCATTTTATTTTGTCATATATTCAAAGGTCCCAAACTGTCATTTTATTTTATATTTTTTTTTTGCAAATCTACACCCTGATAATTAGTTTTTTTGTTTCAATAAAAAATATGACTCCGTGGCGCAACGGTAGCGCGTCTGACTCCAGATCAGAAGGTTGCGTGTTCAAATCACGTCGGGGTCAATTCGTCTTTTTTTACATAAAACCATTCAAATATGTTACATTCAGTTACATTAAGCTATATTCGTCGTCCGATTGGATTTTTAGAAATGACCAACAAAACTTTTGTGTATTTTGTTGATTTCTCGTCTAAATGTTGTTGATTTACTATCAAATCGCTTCATGAAATAGTGAAAATGATTTTTATAAAAATGTCAAAAAAGGCGAAGATTGATGACGAAAATATTTTCCAATTGAAAATGTGATTATTTTTTTTAAATAATAATGTTTGCTTCGTTTTTGTATGAAGAAGTAAGAGTTTATAAAAAAAAATAGATTTGACATCGCGGGAATCGAACACAGAATCTATTGGCTGTTAGTTAAATAATTGACTGTCTTAGCTGCGACAGCTTATCACAGTATTGCGAGTGATTTCATATTCCGTTTACAAATGGAACACGATTTGAGTTTCAACGTGATATACTTTACGACATACGTAAAGTTTACGGTTTATTTTTGCATTTGTACGTTTGTATATTTATAGGTTCCTTCTTTCTCCCTGTGTTTTCTTCTCTCTGAATTTTCGTTGATAAATTCATGTCGATACGACAGCCGAACGATTACACTCGAGTCAATGGAACAAGGTGTTTGCAGCAACAAAAAACCATTTCGCTTATCTCCATCGAACTACACACATACATCCATTTTGACACATAAAATAATGATTATGATTTATTACAGTGCTCATTTGGATGGCACACTTTTATACCGTGCACTGTATCAGCGACAATGTTTTTATTTTGTGCACGATAAAAGCTACATGAAACCATACAAATCAATGGCATCAATTCTTCGTTTAAATAAAAACAGTTACACTTATACACGAATATGAATATTTGGCAAACGACTTTTTTTCTTCGATTTTTTTTTTGCTTTTTGCCTATTTAAAAGACTAATCATTCGCCTTTTTCATTCAATAGATTTAGCATGATTCATTGCATCTTTTCAGTAAAGTTATTTTTAAATCGACATCATTCAGACAGTTCAAGTGGCAAATGATTTTAGATCAATTTTTTTTTCTTCAAAAATGTTGTTTTTTTGCTTTATTAGTATACTTACGTATAGTAAAGTTCAGCTGATGAGCTGCGCGATTCGGTAATCGATTCGTTGAATCGTTGGACGGTTGAATCTGGTGCGGATGGTTTACATGTGTCACCCCATTCGGTGAGACATATTGTCCATGGTAATGTTGATTTGAATGAATTAAAGAAATAGTGTAATGTTATGGCCATAATGGTTACGTAATAAGTGGCAACGATGCCGGTTGAAATCACTTGAGCATAACCAACGCCTGGTGAAATGAAAGATACAAACAAAAAAAATTGGCCAAATGATATTAAAATCAACTCGAATGATGAATGAAAGAAGTTTTGTGCTCACACACAGAGCTTCTCACATTCGCTCAATGATTTGTAATAAGATATATATATATATATGCGACAAGAGTGTATCACATGTAATTTGATTTGTGTTTTTATGCGAAGAGGCATGTAACTTGTATCGAAAGTTCGACACCAGCAGCAACATGGAAAACAGTAGAAAAAAAACGAATTAAGCAATTTAGCTACACTTGTATTTACTTGAAGTGTGTATCCCTTGAATATTATTCGATAGCTCTTGAACATCATTTCTCGAGTCTCCTTTTGCTCCAAGAGAGTAAGAGGGAGTTTAAAAGAGAACGATATGATATAGAGAGCAGAGCGTGCGGATAAATTATTGATGTCAAAAGATAAATATGTTTGGATGCTTTTAATTAATTTTTTTTCCTTTTCTCGTGTTGTCATGCCCAACAAGTATGAAGAAAACGAAGAAAAAAAAATACCTCTGAGTGCGGGTGCGAGATCGAAAACTTTGATTGAACTTCTTGAAGAAAATTGGCCGAGTAACATTTCCATATAGTAAAGTGGTCGTCCAATGATGAGTAATACAATTAAATATGGTATTAAAAATGCGCCTCCGCCATTTTCCAGTGCTGTAAACGGAAAACGCCAAATATTACCTGAGGAGACAAAAAAAAAAACAAAAAAAAAAATAATAAAATGTATAAATAAAATACAAAATATATTACCAAGGCCAACCGACATCGCAATGCATGACATCAAAAATTCAATATCATTGCCCCAGTTGGCTCGTTCCTTAGTCGCCGTTGTCGTCGATGTTTTGCCGGCTACTGTCGTTGTCATACCAGTTACACCATTCTGTAATGTTTTATTTTATTAACACATTCAAATAACAAACACATCGAATTAAATTGAATAAATTATTCGCTTCATAAAGACACACCACCATCCAACAACAATAACAATTTTCAAATTTTTTAAGTGGAACATTTGAGAAGCAATGAACTTATGCCTGTGTCCACCTGAAGAAGACGAACAAAAACAATATACATATTAAATAATTTACCGTTGTTTCATGCACGACATCATTTGTTGTTGTTGGTGCTGCTGTCGGTGGTTGTTGTTGCCTATCGTCATTTCGAGTGGTTGTCCTTGTATTTGACGATTTGCTGCTATTGTCATCGTCTACAAAAGCTGGATTATTATAACCCATTCTGTCAAGCGTCACTATTTACGTTGTCGCTTCTATCTGAAAACAGACACACAACAAAAAACAAATCTACAATTTTTAGCGAACAATATTCCCCGGCACACAATTTTATGTGCATTTTTTTTTTCCTCTCTACATTTAACACGACAAAATTCCATTCCACTTAAATTTGATGTCAACATTAAATCTTCCAACCATTCTGACAGTTTTTCTTATTTTTTACTTTACTTTTAATTTAATAAGACGCCGTTGGCAATAAATTTCTTATCTAAGTAATTTTCGTATTTATTTATTTATTTATAAATGAGTGTGCGCTTGTTTTAACGAATATGTGATTTAGTTTCGTTTTGCATCAAACTTGGTCCAATATCTAATTCACCGTATAAAAAAATTCATTTGTAAAACCGTGAATAAAAAAACGAAACAGAATTAAATCAATCGCGCTCATTTGCGATGGAAATTAATCAAGTAGCAAATGCAATCAAATCGATTTATGCATGCATGCACGCTCGATATCCACACACAGAGAACAAAAAAAAAATCAGATCGCCAACGCAACACAAATCATTCCATTATAGATTTATATCAACAATTGCCATATGATCGTAAAATAAAAAAAAGTCTAACTGAAGCAGCACTTCAAATCAAGTTTTCTTTTTCTTCATTGCGCCATCAATTCGATACGACTATATCAATCGAATTTTTTGAAATGACGCACGATACGTTTTTTCTTTAACTCATTTGACGCTATTCTTTTTATATTACCTTTTTCGTTCGATTTCCTTTGAGATTAGAGCAAATGAGTTTTATACGATAAAACATCAAATGAACCGAATCAACGACGAAAATTGCTTCCGATATGAGCCATTTTTAAAAATAGATAGACCATGATCAATACAATGTGAATGAAACAAATAAGTTTTGAATGCGTAAATTTTTGTGAATGAAAAATGAGATTTGACCGTGTGCAAGAAACGTGCTCATGCTTTGATTGTAATGTGTCAATCAATATATATGAACACGGTTCGTTTTTGATCTCCAAGACCAAAGAATCAGGAATCAAAACGCTCTAGCAACCACTACAAATACATGTAAACAATTCGCTTTGAACCGATTTAAATCTAGTTTTTAGTTTTACGATGCCCGATGCAGTAAACAAACCACAAATAGCATCACTCATTTGTATATTACTTTCGTTTTTACAATGACATTGAAATCGTGATTTATGTTTTTTTTTCACGCATTCGTGATGTGTGTTTTTTAAACGTTCGTTTAGCTGAACGATTACATTTATCAACCGACTCATTTCTGGGTCAGAATACAGAACAAAACAAACACTACGGTTTTGACCATATGTACACCACTACAATAGAGACCGGTAGCCCACCGGCGTTCAAACACATATATTGATATAAATGAAACATTTTAGTATAGTTTTTAGTGTAATTGGATTGCTTTTATTTTGAAAAATTTCATCGTTAAATTAATATTTCAATAAAAAAAAAATTTCGTTTTCATGTTCTTCAACGGCGATTGAGATTTTGAATAATTCGAATAAAAAGAGCAAAATCTTGAAAACTAGAAAAACGGACCAAATCGAAATAGCAAACATTTTGAATCTAAATAAGTAAAAATTGCGAGAAAAAACTCTATTAAAAAACCAATTAATTTCCAAACAAATAAAAAACGTTCGAAAATATGAAAAAATGAATGAATACTTTGTGAAAAGTGTAGTCTCCGTCACCGAATTTCGGCGAGTGTTGAAAGTTTCTATTTTTACATGGATTTCATCCAAAGCACCAAACTAAGATGCATGGGTTCAAAGGTAAACTTCATTAAATTCGTTGAAGCGGTAGCAACGGCAGTGACAGCGTCAAACACGACATTACGTACTGTGTGCATTTACCTCTGTGCATTTTGTGTTTTCGTTCGTATTATTATTATTGGTTGTGTGAAGGTCATTTGAGGTAAACAGTTATGTTCATTCACTCATATCGAAACGGTGTACTGCGTGCAATAATAAGCTTGCATAATTATAATGCTGCAGCATAGATTCGATGGAAACAAAACAAAAAAAAAACTCCACACAAATAACGATAAATCAACAGTTGATTCGTTAATTTTCTTCAACGAACGAAAAATAATTTCGTTGATTTCGTGCCACCGTGATTTTAATCAAGAAAAAGAAACCTGCTGTTTAGAACACTTAAATAACTTGAGTAGCAGTCATTGATTCGAGAATCTAGGTTCATTGTTTTCTGAGTAGCCGCACAGCAATTGCTTCGAAAGAGGTTTATTATTAAACTGTCGGAGATTCGTTCGTTTCGTTTTATGATTGTTGTTGATATTTTTTTTATTATCTTTTTATCATTTCGATGTCAAATTGTCATCACGAACATAAAAATCGAATTGAATCTGATTTTCTTTTGCTTTTACATCCATAAGGCGACACTTGAGTGGCATTTGAAAGCACTGTAAATGTAAGGTACGCTTGCATTATTCTCCATTACAACGTCATATATATAGTGCGTAAATATCAGATTAGATAAACGATATAGTTTCGTCGATTTTATAGAAGGCGATTTAAATTGAGAATGTAATTAATGGTGTCAACCTTGAACCTGTTGTGCATTCAGTTTTTTATCAATTGCAAATCAATAGTAGCACTGCATACCATTAAAATAGACAACAAGCCATCGATTTATTGAATTTATTTTGGAGTGGGGAAATTAATGCATAAAAAACTGGAGTAACATACAGGTGATGGAGACGAAAAATGGTTTCAAAGAACACGCACCGCGTCTTCAGAATTACGTCGATTACGAAGATGAAAAAGACAAGAATTAGCAACTCACAATGAATGGAAGATAATGACAACTGGTTTAATAGACAGACCTTCGGACTTTTTGCTTCTACCATTTTTGCTAGTTTTTTTTTTTAATTTCATTTCTTTTCATGCGTTGTTTGCGCTTATGCGTTGATTTTTAAGTCTAAAAACTAATAAACCTGCACTATTTAACATGCAGTGACATTTTGAATATTTCATTTTCAATTTCAAAACTATTCCTCTAAAGATTAATACTTTCTGAATATATTTGATCGGATGAGAATTAACAGGTTAATCACATCTCACGTCCTGAGATTGAATTTTTTCCTCGGCAGAGGGCAAGACATATCTTTATATTGACAGTTTATATTCATTTCACCTGTTTTCTAGGTTTTTATGTGTTTTATATTTATTTAAACATCAGAGAGAGAGAGAGAGAGAGAGAGAGAAAAAGTAAGTGGCTGTTTATTTTATTTGTTCTATAATGCGATGAAATCGAGCATAAAATTTATAATGTCAACATAATTCGTTTATGCAAAATTGATATAAACATGCGTGTGTGTTATTTGAATGATTTGGGGCAAAAAAAAACTGTATTGACCTTCGTCGAAATGAAATATAGGCAAAAGAGTCGTCGTAAACCTTTCGAACGTGTTTTAAGCTCAAATGACGTTCACTTGATTTTTTACGATCATATTTTCGTGCCAATCGAAACCTAAAGTGAACAAAAAATTCATGAATACTGAAGAAGAGCGATAAAGAAAAAGAAGGCGACAAAGTTGTCGGTGCAGAGAAATTGCCAAATCAAATAATAATTAATTGAGCATTTTATGCGGCCCTAAAACCACAACTGGAAAAGTACACAAAAGAGAAGGTTCATTTTGCTTGAACACTGACTGCACTGCGTATCGATTTGATGCTATAGTTGGTGTTTGTAATAAAACACAAATGAACATCGAATTGCTACTTCCAATTTGAACAAATATTTCAATTTTTCTACTGCTATCCTCTTGGGAAAAAGCAGAAACAAGTTGACAAAACGATGTTTTATTAAACAAGATGCCAACAAACCGCATGAACTTTGGCAAATAATGAAAAAACGGAATGGTAAAAATTTTTACTAAAAAATAATTGAAGTTAAGAGCCTTCGATCTGGTGTGTTTCATCGTCATCATCAAATAAACAATTGAAACCGCATGATCGTCATTCATGTACACAGATACATTGGCGCAAAGTGAAAAAAGAGAACTGTTTGTTTTGCTAAGTATGTATTATATTATGTACATGACATGTAATCACGTTGGTTTGCTTTCCCTTTCTATTGAATTTGGTGTCGTTCATTTTTTTTCTTGTCTTTCAATCTCCATATTCCGCGTATTTCCGTCTCTATCAATCGTTCTTTCACTTTCGATCTTCTCTTTCACTGTTTTCGGTCTTTCTTTCGCACTGTCTTACACTTTGCATGGCCACTGTGTTACCGGCACAATTCATTTGTTTGTGTTATGCCGATGAATGATTGTGGCAAGCATAAAGAAACAATCGCGTCTTTTAATATCGTGTGGTGTTTGGTGCTGTATGCATAATCTTCATCAATTCATCAAATTCGGTCGCATAAAATATTATGGGCAAGGTAAACAGTACTCAAACCAAGATCGGATCAAATGACACCGAATTTGTTCACTGCTCGTTGACGTCAATATATCGAAAGTAATCATTTCAATTTCGGATTTTTGGCACACATTCAAAAACAAAACACTTTTATCACACGCAAAAAATGACGATGATGATGATCTTTTACCATAATTTCTCACTGCTTGCGTTGGCAAATTCATTTGAAACTATGCGAATCTCCTCTTCAATTATAATGAGACGCAAAGAAATGAGGAAAACCAGCATCTATGACATATCCGTTTGACGTAATAATTCGTTTTCAATGGATTCACAATGTTCATTTGAAGAAAAATGCAAAACAAAACCAATTAACTTTGGACACAAAAACATTACGATTATTGCACATTATTCATTTTTATGTAAGTTTTACAGCGATTTACGATAGTAATGATGATGTGATTTCAAATGACATTTTAAATTTATTCTCTTCTCTTTTTACACATTTCAAATTAAATTCAAACAATGTAATTGCATATTTTGAGGTATTACACACGGACGATGTGAATGGGGAAAGGGAAAAAAAAGATGAAAAACATTTTTTTTTTTTTTACAAAAGCCCATTGAAAGGGAAATTGGTCGCAGTATTTTTACTTATTTTTTGGGTCAGAATGATTCCCGTGTTTAAAAATGTGACTGATCAACAATTTTCGGAGATAATTGACTCGTAAACTATGATTACGATCCGAAGAAAACAGAAAACTTCAGTTATTATATAGGGTTTCTACAAGATGAATATAACCAACTTTTTTCGGCACAAAAATAGCAAGGAGATCAACAGTTTTTTAAGAGATTTCGTTTTTAAAGTAATAAATTTGACCAAATATCAATCATCAATTATGGTCAATATTCAGTTGGTAATGTTATTTTTATGGTTTAATATCAGATTATCTGATTCAGATAAACGGCATGTTTTCAGTGAAAAATGTTCACAATCTGTTGCAAATAAATCACCTTCGGATGAAATTGGACGATAATCATGCTCTCAAACTGAATAAAATATGGTTCCAACTGTGCCACAGAATGCAAAGTGACTCTTAACAGATGAGTAATTGATCCACATTAAAAATGCATCAATTTTCAATAAAAGACTAATAATATGTGGTCTGGTTTAGCATTTAAATCACCAAATTAATGCAAAATTCATTCATTTATTTTCACATATATGCTATGAATTTTGAGTAATTTTTTTATGCCGTCCAATGGATTTAACCAAAGATGGTGACTTTTTTTAATGGAAAATTTTGTCTTTTTTCTCTCAACGAAAATGATAAATTACTTGTAAAAAATGTCAATAAATTTCCTGTTGACGATTCGACTTACCGTCTGTTAAAAAATGATTTAAAAAAGAAAAAAACGGCAATATCACAGCAAAATAAGGAATTTGTTTGATTTAAGAATGAGGAATTAGGAACGTATCCGTTTATATTTCATCGACTTGATCACACTTGTTATTTAAATAAAAAAAAATGGAAAATCACAAATGATCACTTGATGCGTTTGAATCATATACACGTCTTTAACATTTCATTTATAAAATTGCTGTGCATTCGCTTGAATTGCACATTTTTCCAAGAATAATTGAATTTTAGCTGGTTTATATATTGAATTAAATAAACGTTGTAATCAACTTTCACGGTCAACAGGAAATTCAACGTAAATTCTCGGGTCTTTTTTTTCGTCTAGATTATTTTAATAAAACGAAACCATATGTTTATAAATGAATTGTATGAAGTTTGCGAAACGGTGCTGAAACAGTTAACGCTATGATGATCAGCAGTCAACTGAGGTGTTTCAAGCTGTACATGTTGGTTAAACCACCTGTGTGCACCACTTCATAAATTAATAGCGACGCTTTACACAGCACAGCACAGTACAGCACATTCACAAAATGATCATCATGCTTGAAATTGAGAGAGAGAAATACGCATCGAAAAACACATACAATAAATGGTGCTTACGCATATATATGGCGATCATCGATCATTGTTCTTTCTTCGGGTGTATCGATTTATCACATTTTATGACGCCGTTACAATACTTGAATTCGATGGAATTTACACGGCAGAGGAAACGAAGCGACAATAAAAAATAATCGACGGCAGATTTGTGATAAAAATGATAATTATTAAATATCAGATTATTTCAATGGAATAGATTACTGACATTTTTTTTTAATTTCAAATGAGACATTGTAATTACGCATTTAGGTTGGCAGACCAAACATCTGCTCGCGGAGGGGTAAATGATACGTATGAAACCAGTGCAAAAAAGAAACCTAGTAAAGCGAAAGATTTTAAGATTTCAGAGGTGAAGTCCCAATTTTTTCATTCCGACAAATCGGTGCAGATCCCGGATGCGCGCGATACAGAGAAGGGGGAAAACACGGAACCTCCCCCCACACAACATTTTTTTTAACAAATTTCCACAGATTATATAACAGAAAATGTGAATGTATGTCATATGATTTATAAAAGATACATCTAATCAATATCGAAAAAAATTTATAGCTTTGTGACGATCACAAATCGATTAATTTGACGCTGCTTTTATAGATATCGTTTCATTCATTCCACTGAAAGACCAAACTTCTTCTAATTTCTTTATATTCGTGAAATTTAGATTAGGTTCC